AGCCAGTTCATCCCATTCTCTGGCGAAGCACCACAGGCTGAACCGTGAATTGCTCGGCTGGGGTGGAAGAATACGCTGAGAGGAAATGTGGTGAGCTAATTTATGATTCAGTGGGTCGCTCCAAAACAAAATTTCACAGGGCTTTTTGAGATTTACTTTAAAGGTACCGTACCTTGGTCGCAAAACTCCGGACGATCACTGGGTGCAGAAAGTAGAGTTTTCTCTTTCTCTGCCGTTAACATATTTTTTCTTGCAGTTCACCAGCTTTACAGTTTAATATGTTTAAGAATGTTCAGAGGGACGGATAAGATTTGGACCCAGCTATTTCCTTTAAATTTATAAACAGAACCTGGAATTTAAGTCCATCAATGCTCTTTGCCTCAGTTCCATTTCTTTTCCTAAAAACGTGCCTAACGTCTGGAATGGGAGACCTGGCCATCTACATTGCTTAATTACAGTGAAGGACAGGAAGGCCTGGCGCGATATGGTTCATGGGGTCACGAAGAGTCGGACACGACTTAACGACTGAACAACAACAAAAACTCAAGCTGGTCTAATGATAGACAGGGATGCTGAGAATTGTAGTTCAGCAGCCAATTGCTAACTGCCATCATCCTGAGAGGAGCTCACTGCATTTTGCTAACATATGGATTCTCCACCGTCTCATTCTGAGTGAACGGAGTACAGTAATGCAAAAGCAAAAGGTGGCTGGTCCCACCTACCAATTTTGGAAAAGACTGGACTCCAACTGATCTCCACGGTCTGGGATGGGGTTTATAGGATGGATAGACTGAGACAGCTTTGGATTGAAGGAGACCAAGAGTCCTCTGTGGAAGGAAGTTAGATGGACAGTTCTAAGAATGTGAGGGGGTGGAGATGGGGAAGAAGGGAGAAAGTGCCTATAGAAAGGGAATGTGGAAAGAAGATAAAGGTGGAGAAGAAGGTAGAAAGAATAAGGAAGGGAAATAGAGTGAAGGAGAGGACATTAGAAACAAGAAGGATAGAGTGATGGCATGCAGCAGAGAAACTGTGACTTAACCAGATGATGGACAATGTTTTGTTTGAGAAGAAGAATGACAGAGAAGTTGGATAAAAAAACTTGTACTCCTTCATTAGAGCCAGTACAAGAAAAGGAAGGGATAGTTTTGGAGGACTGTGAATTGAATGGGAAATCAGGACTATTTCTGGCACTGTCGGAAAGGACTAAGAAGAATAACTATAGTAGCAGTGACAGAAAGGTCATGGAAGTTGATGGAAGGTGGGGAGACTAGAGATGGAGGCTTCTAATGCCCTTTTATCTGGACTGGCTGGCAAGGAGACCTGCTGCTTACTGGTGTGGTGGTCTGTGTGTTTTCAGGGGTATTAGGAATCAGACCAGTGGCAGGTAATGAAAGTCTGGAGTGTGAGGTCCTGGATCAGTGGCACACTCAACTGAGATTCACTGGTAATCTTAGCCCCTAAGGTCAGTAGAATTACAGTCCCAGAAATGGAGGGGTTCTGAGAGGATTACAAAAAGGTTGGATTGGGATGACCCTTCTGGTGAGAGGGGTGGGGGGGATCCCCATCTAGAGTGAGAGTATGGATCGGGAACTACCCTCACCAGATTATTGAAAGACTGGAAGAAAATAGAGGGTGTACATATAAGTGATCTTAGAAAGTGGGGAGGCTATCATGAATGGTTTGCCCGACTGTTGGCTTCTGTCTGACTTGTCTCTTAATATGTGAAGGGATTATTGAGATTATGTATTTTTTTAAATTGTTATCTTGTGGCTATAATGTTCACTTTGTTACTGTTACTGGATTATTGGTTCTTATGTTGAGTGTATTGGAAATGGAACCCAGGAGATGCTGTTTCTCAGTTCCTGCTTCCACCTTGTAGAATATCCTCCTCTTAGAATTAAGATGTGCTCCATCCCTTCTAATGTTTTGGAAGCTACTGAAGACAGAACTTTTTCCAAAGAGCATTTGATTGAATCGTTTCTTATCACCATCTTTATTTAACTTTGAATTACTTATATTGATTTAACTGTTGATGTTACTTTATTTGGTTTTGTTATGATTAATCGCTAGTACTATAATTTATCCTTATATTATTGTAAACTTGATTAGTTAATGATTGTTTTAATTTCTTTATGTCTGCCATGGACCTTTTAACTGTTATGGTTGTTTTTGTTGATTATTTTGTAAACCACCATGAGTTCATATTGATTCAGCAGTATGTAAGTAGAATAAATAAGTTCACAGGTCCCCCTCCCTGCTCTATATGCAAAAAATTAATTCAGCTTCTGTGTCACCTCCTTATCCTCCTTTAACACTCGGTTTCTTCTTGTCACAGAACAGACCAGTCAACTCTAGCCAGTGTTCTGTTTTTGGTATATTTATGTCAGCCCTTCGAGGTAGACTAGATTAGGAAATACACTCCACAGAAAGATCAGAACTATACTTTCTGAAATTAGCTATAATAACAGAATCTTGCAAATCTGATTGGGTTTCTCCTTTCCTCCCTCTTACACCCCAGAGAGTCAGGCAAGAGCCATCCCACTCTTCTTGGTACTATCTTGTGGGGGAGTTGGGTGGTGATATAAATTTGACAAATAAATCTAGTGGGGGGGGGGTTGGGTGGTGATATAAATTTGACAAATAAATAAAT